GCGTCTAGTGTCTATTTTCAATTTCGACGTGTGGATCTACCCACTCGTAGCCGCTTCGGCATTGTGAAAGCGAAGACGACAAGACCCGCGCGCCCGCACCCACCGCCGCGCCCGCGCCTGCACTCTGAATGAGCCCATTCTATGTCGAATTTGGTGTGGGGAGACGTAGACTTCGAAGTACATATTATCTGGATCAGATTGAGGTTGTCCTTAAAAAAAGTCGGGGTCAAAGTACCGAGAATAAAAGGGCATGTCTGAGGAGACTGATGGGAATCGAAGAGGCAACGGAATTTTGTCAGGTGTATATACATATGTCGATATAGAAAAAGTATTTGACGACTTGAATATTTTTTTCCAATATTTATAACTTCGCTTTAGAATGTGATCAGCGATTTAGATGATTTTTACAATTAAATATTTTTCTCATATCGACACTTTGGGGAAGAATGAGCGTAAAACTTAGCTTTATTAATAATGCTGTTGGGTTAATTTTCATGCACAGTCAATCTGAATACCTACTCAGTTTTGTTATTCGCCAAAAATGGTATATTTACGTACACATACTTCTAAAAATAAAAAGCTATGAACAAGGCTTATAAATTTCCGTTTTTCACTCCTCGAGTAAACATTGTAGATTGGCTTTTACGAACTGCCATCACCGAAGTATCGATACGGAAAATATTTAACTAATGAATATAATGAAAGATTAATATTTTCAATCAAGTCGAATACCTATTAATTAGTGTTCGTTGTCGCCTCTTAAAAATTTGTTTTGCTCCAAAACCAATTACGTCTGAACAAGGCTTATATTAGTTACCTTTTGATAGCGACAATATTTTGACGTTTACGTGTTTTCAATGTAAATTATAAATTTCGAGTTCAAATTCCGCTGAATTATTCTGTAGTCTAATGAAAGAACGGTTGTTACTCATTTCTTCAATTTATTTTTGTTCTTTAGTAATTTATTTCAGGTCAATGCATACCTTAAGGACTAACATATATACAACGTAATAAACTAAATAACTACTCTACACGAATTGCACTTGTGGGCGACGTGTGGCGCAATCTGGTGTCAGGTAACCGGCCGCGGAACCGCCGATATACGATACCCCTCGGCCAAAACTCCTCCTTCATGAAGGTCGACAGATGTTCGGACGGTACTCTCACCACAATCGAATTAAAATTCACCTTGTGGCGGGACCCTCAGGGTGTATTTGGCACCTGATGTACTCCACTATCTCCTCAGACTTCGTGAAGTAATGCGGTCGCGACAGGTACAGTAGCGTCGTCCGTATGACCGGACGCAGCAAAAAGTTAGATCCTGTCGGTGCTGTGCCACACATGTTACGGCTGATAGGTTTCCTCTTCACCACATTTCTAAAGCCGTCCTCGCCACACTAATCCGTCTGCCTCTGTGGTTTTGCAACTTCAGAGACAGGCACATGGGGATTGCTTTTGCTCTTAGCCGATTGCCGCTCGAGTTTCGAATTGGGGGTCGGCTAGTAGAAGCGGCTCGGCATTTGAGAGGGCGACCTAGGCCCCAATTCTGCTAATTTTAAATCATCTCTGTTGTACGTTTGGTATTCTACTAAAAGTGGAGAATAGTGGCTTGGCTAGCCATCGAGCTACTATTCGACTGCCATTACAATTTTTTGGTAGTCTAGTCTTAAACGGCGAGCAAATGGTACATCAAATTACAAAGATGTACAGTCATTCACACTATTGGCCCATGGTATTATATATACACATTTTTAGCAACAGTAGAACTCATTGCGAAAGAGTTCGTCCAGGGATGTATTGCCACCGTACCTATTTCCGCCACCAAGCATAACTGCGTTCCGGTTTTGAAGGGTAAGGGTGCTAGTGAAATTATACAGGCACATGGGACTTGTCAACTTATGTTTCAGAGTGTCGGGTGCAGTGGCAGTGCCCCTCAGATTTAAAGCTCTAAAGCACCACCAGGCGCACGACTCGTTCGACCCGTTACTTGATACTCTATAAAAAAGACTAAAAACAAATTATTTTAGGTATTAAAGTTTACTGTGTATTAAAGTTTACTGTTTGTACTAAAGTGTTATGTATAGCCTTAATTAGATCGTAGGTTTATATTCCTATATGTGAAATTTCTTGGCTCATGTCTTCGAAGCTTGATATACGTATTCGATCTGTAATCTGTTGTTGTATACCTTATCCAATAAAAATAAAATATATCTAACGTTAACATAGCTGCGCGCACAAATCAGCAAATTTTGTTACAAAACACGATTCAATTGTACATTTAAGTAGAGAAATTCAGTACTGAGTTCTGAAGGTGCCATTTTTTACTACACGATGTTTTATATGGGATAATTCTATCCCGCCCGTGTCGCGAAACAACGATTAGCGTTCGCTTGCGACTTGTCATGAATATACCGATTGCGCATTCGGTGATAGGAGTTCAAAGTTTCTCTCATTAGTGCCGAACTTTACATACACACGTACCGTGCGCGTTAAACATTTTGAAATCATTCGTATTACGACATAGTACTAAAATCTAACGCATGCCTATACTTTACTGTGAAATGAGCATTACATAATACTTTGCCATTTAAAATATTTAGAAATGAAACCGTTTTTCGGACCTAAATCAGTTAGCGTGACCATGGGACCTGTAAAGAGCGTGTAACGTTGGTTTTGTTTATATAACCTGGTCATTGATATCTTCAACACTAGAGTTGCCACAGCGAGGGGATTACTCAGCGATTTTTTGTTTAATTCTTAGGAAAGTTTTTCTTCGTTTGTAAAATTCTCAAAATTTCTTCGATCTCTGTTTTTCCTCTCTAGAAAGCTTACATATTTATATTATATTATATCTAAAAGTGTAAACTAAATTGAACTACTTCATTGTTTATTTCAGTTACTGTATATAGTTGTAGTTTACCATGAATACATAAAATAAAAAAAATGAATAAAATAAAACAAATATATATGCGATTTACATCCGAATAAATAGTTTCATTTCCAATTTAAGATATTTAACAAATATTTAAAGTATGTAAATATGTGTATGTATTCAATCCTACATGAAAGCTAAAATTTATTCAAAACCTGTAAAATTTTTAAGTTTTCTAATACACTTAACGTAACTCATTCTACATAACGGCGCGCTATTTAAACAGTTGATTACTGATTAAAACATATCGACTAGTTATTTTATTCACTAAATCAATGACTGTAGTTATTATAATTTTAGAGCGGGTAACACCGGATGTACTTGTAAGTGTCAGTTTTTCGGCGGGGAAGAAGTTTTGAACAGGTCACCGCTTGTGATGTTGTGTTGATGATTGCACTTTCAAACAAATTGGCTCTAAATTTGAGTAATTTGTGCGTTGTTATTTAGTCAATTGACTTATTCGTAAGAATTTGACAAATTAAAACAGTAAGCGAATTGCGTGATTATTTCTTCGCATTGGGACAACTCGCGCGTTGACAGCCACCATGAACCCGTCGGAAACGAATGATCCGCCTCAGGATTGTGCGTCACGATATAGATAACACACACTTTTTTTTATGGCAAGCTTTATAATATGCCACCGATATAATAAGAAGAAAAAAATATATACTTTAGATAAATTTTACAAAGAAATGGTTTTACATGGTTGTTATTGTAATAAGACACGGTTCGGAGTTAGGTCAACAGTGATAATTTAATTTCGAATATAGTTTCATCGAATTGGCATTAAGATTGAAAAAAGTCCTCTTGATTTTTTTTATATTACTTTGATTTTTCGATAAAATAAACAAAAGTTTGGTCACTATCAGACAATATGAAATTGCTTGAAGTCATATTTATGATACAAATCACCAAAAGTCGGAACCAACTGAATATACGTATAGCAGAACTCAGTATTTATCTCCTCGAATTACCGAAGAATCCACGACAAGAGACTTGGAAAGACTATCTACAGAATCTACGAAGACGGATACTGAAAAATTATGGAATCATTCATAAAATGGTTGCTGCAATTATTGATACGCTCTGGATATATTACTAGAAAACAAGTATCACACTAAACATTTTGTATAATTCACATTGTCTTTTCAGTGTATTTCGATAAGCGTAAATATTATGTTTTTTCACATTAAGATTGGTTTAGAAAGTTAATGCAGTGGCTTTATCAAAATGACACCAAAAGCTTCAAGTGTTTTGGATACTTCCTGATATTTTTAAATAACAAAGATTTAAAAAAATATATGTTTATGGAGCAATTAGAGATGATTGCACAGAAGAACACAAACACTCAGTATTGGTGAACATTGAAGTAAAATGAAATTTCTTTCTTAAGTATTTAAATTTTATACCAAGTGTTATTTTTTTATTATTCTTTAGGCATTTCTTTTCATTTCTTTATTTTTATTAGCCGTACTTCACTGGACGAACACTTTCACATGTAGCTACTACTACTGCCATTAAAATGTTATTATTATTATTTAATATATATACATATATATATATATATATATATGTGTGTGTGTGTGTGTGTGTGTGTGTGTGTGTGTGTGTGTGTGTGTGT